ACATCTTGCAAATCTTCTCCGTCAATTGCGATTCGATTGCTGCATGTTGTGTTGTATCGGTGGATCTTGCTTTTCCCTTCGTGTATCTTAAGACCTACTGTTGCTGGTCGTCTTCTCCTGCATTTGTTGTTGCGTTTGGGATAGAAGAGCCAGATCATCTGCGAAGTCTAGATCGTCCAACTGCATCCTAGATGTCCATTGTATGCCGTGCTTCATTTCAGATGTTGATGTCTTCATGGTCCAGTCGATCACCAGGAGAAAGAGAAAGGGTGAGAGAATAATCCACCCACCAGAATTCTCCATCTAACCCACTTCCGAACAATCCTTTCCAGTTGCTATTCATTTTTTCGATATCTGCCTTCAATTCCTGACTCAGTGTGTTCTTTGATCTTCCACTTTACCGTTTCCCTTCACGATTCCAAGTTAGCAATTGCTAAATGATACAGTTTAGTGATTTTCACAATGTGTGTCCTATCTACCTCCATCGTCTTTTCCTGATTTCCTCTTCAACTGGAAGCTAGTTTGTTCTCTGCCACAGTGGATTGTTGCTGGTGGTATTCGGTCAACGGACATTGAGTATCTTGTGTAGACAAATGTGTATGAATAGTTGTGCTTCTTGATGATGGTTGTAGTAGTTTTCAAAGTTTCAACTCCGTACAGTAGAACTCTCTCGACGTTCGTATTGGAAATTCTGAATTCGATATTGGCTTGTATTCAGTCGTTTTGCGTTCCATATGTTATTCAATTGTAGAAATGCTGTCCTTACTTTACCAATCCTTGCAATTACATTTGCATCTGATGGTGTCCAGGTACGTGAAGATTTAAACACCTTCCAGTGTGATAGGGCCAGTGTTCTACATGCTGTATAGTGACGAGTTCCACTCAAATGATTGTTCGACGATGACCCATAGTGTCACGATTTAGTCGGTACACGATCAATACTATGGTATCCAATCTATTAATATCGATGTCGGGCGTCTACTGAATCATTCATTCGGTTCAACAACACTCTGAAAACATTTCTTAGTAATGATAGTAGCGTGATGCCTCGATGGTTCCCACACTTGCTCACATTTCCTTTCGTTGGTATTTTGATGAGATATCCTTGTTACCAGTCTGTTGGCACTTGTTACTCCTCCCAAATTTCCTGATCACAACGTGGAGTATGTTTGCAGTTCTGTGTATGACTTCAGTGCTTAAACTGGTATATTGTCAGGTCCTTCTGCTTTCCCATTCTTGATTTTCTGGTGGTCATGCTGTTTTCTTCGATTGTTGAAGTGACAGCTATGGCGAGGTTTGTGTGTGCTACTTCGATGTCCGGTGAGTTCAGTGAAGCTGATCTATTCGAGAGTCCCTCAAAGTGTTCTACCTCTGTTCTTGAATCTCAGTGATTGGCTTGCATTCATTGTCCCTGACTGATCGCCCTGTTTTACGATATTTCCATGTTAGTTTCTTCCTTGTGTCATATAGTTGTTTGATATTTATTTCACTTGCAGCTTTTCACACTGTCATTGCTAGATGTTCTACATATTTCTGCTTGTTGACCGTAATGCCCCTCTTTACCCTCATGTTTATTTCTGTGTACTCGGTCTGTGGCATGGTTCCCTCTGCTCTTGTTCAACCGTTGTTAATTGCTTCTTACGGCTTAGAATCTCCTAACACGTTGAAGTTAGTGCTTCTCTGATCCTCTTCCAGTTGTTCTCCATAGTAGTTCCCTCTTCTTTTGGTGGATCATGTAAGGCTTGAAACCCGTTTCTGAGAGCTATCTTGAATTCGTTGAGTTTGTCAGTATATGGAAGAAAGGCTATGCAGAATTTGTTTAATGCTGAGTCTCCAGTTTTCCAGTGTTTCTTTAGCTTCAGTTCCTAATTGGTCGCAACCAGGTGGTGGTGATTTGAAGGTATGTCAGCTTTTCTCCTGGTTCTTCCATTTATCTTCTGGATGTTTTAGTGATGCAAATATGATCGATCTGATTCTCTGTAGTGTGATTTAGTGAGACCCATGTAACTTTGTGTATGAATCTGTGTGAGAATATTTTGTCACCTTCAACCGTTTTGTTGAAGACACATAGATTTTAAAATCCCTCTTCATTCTCGTTCCTTTCTCTCAATCAGTTCATGTTGTCTCATGATATCTTCATACCCGACGTTCCCATTCCGACTTTGGTGTTTGAGTTTCTCTTTAGAATGGTCAGGTCCTTTCCTGTACAATTCTCTACGATCGATTGCAGCCTCTCGTGAAACTTGTCTTTATTGCCACGATTGGTGGTAACATAACATTCATTGTGATCTCCTTCTTTGTTCTCAAAGAAGGTTTGATTATTTTGGATCCATGAGATTCCCATTATATAAGTACTTTCATGCTTCTTTAGACAACATCAGAACAACTCTACGTGTGCGGAGCATTTTCTTATTCACAACCAGGGTACAACATCATCTCTCGCAAATTCCTCCTTTTCTATCCAACTTAAGTCTAATGGGTTTCCCTGATTCCGACGACCACCATGTTGTATCTCCTCATTTGCGTAGCTATTTTATTGATCCTCCCAGTTCCCATGTGCCTATATTAATAGTCTATTTTTATTGATGTTTTACCGACCAGATTATAACTGTTATCTTGATGTGGTGGTCCGTCTTGCACATCTTGATCACCCATTCGAGATATATTAGCTGGAATACAGGTTTCTTTTTAGTCTTACCATATCAGGTAGGTCAGTTAGAGAAGGGTTTAAAAATAGTTTCTGATGGTGATGAGGCACTATAAAAATGGAGCTATCACATCAAAAACCGTCCAATAAAAGCTCGAAAGTGATCAGCCTCAGGAAGCTGTTGCTTGAGGTTTGATCCCAGGTCTCTAAGATCACTGCTATTCAAATTATCTTTTCAGATATCTCGAGGAGAATTGTCTTTCTACTGTCAAAGCAACTGACAAGTAACAACCGCCCTCGTATTTCCACGAGCATTTGAGATCACTCTGTTCATTGTCAAGCCCCTCTGTCTTTTCTCAATATCCCTTCAATTCTCACTATTAACTTTTCTCCTACGATTCCAACTTTCTACTCATGAGCCACCGAAGTTAATTTTTTGATATCACCAAATGTTATTCTTGATCTTTTAAAACCGTGCCCTAAACTATATGCTAGTTTTTTAAATGTTCCAATCTTATATCAAATCGAGTTGGCTTTCTTAGCCAGTACTTGTGTCAATCACATATACTGCGTCTTCAAAACACTCATATAGGGTTGGAGTGTGGTTATTAACTTGATGTCACCTGGTCACTACTAAGAACATACACGATTTACTCTCTGTACATCTAGAGGTCTGGCTGCTACTTCTTGTGGCCTTGCTGGCGTAGGCATAGTATTAAGTACAAAAGTAGAATAGGTTCCCCTAAAGTGGATTCCTTGTGTAATGTCCAAATACACGAAGCAGAAAGAACTATGAAAGATGAGGACACACACCGTTAACTGTCTATGCTCTCAGTGACTGAAGTTCGCATGAGGTAAAAGATGATTTGTAAAAAGAGATTTCTGGTCTCCTTCAATGAGTTAAGCACTTAAATGCATTAATCATAGTCAGGGATTCTAATTTCTAAGTAGGTAGTCCAAACTAAACTGACAGGTACTAAGTGGGGGTTACGATGTTGTAGCTTAACGAACAGATAATGGTGGTTCTACTCAGTCACAGAAGGAAAACTAGTAGAGTTCAGCTTAAAGATGAAAAAGTCAAGAGTATATTTCAGGGACAACTAGAGAAGCATTTAGTCAGTCATAAGAACGATATCGACATGGATGTAGGTTGGAATGATATCCAAGCAGCTGAGATCTACTAGTGAACTAAACCAAATGATTAAGTAACATGAAAGGAATTTGTTGGCATCTAACAAACTGATAGATGATCGGAAAATCATCCTATCAGGCTTTGAACAAGATGAGGAACGAAGACATCTTAAACACTGAACTGATAAAAAACCTATGCGATAATCGTGAGCAATGGTGGGTAGCGAAAGAAAATGAGATGGAAAAGACAGGAGCTATAGGGAACTTTACAGACTTATCAAAGAGACAGATATTCAATCTTGTCGTATTATTGAGATTATATCCGAAATAAATGAGAGCATAACCTACGTTCAGTTAGAAATGTTGCTTCACAACTGATCTACGTGAACGCCTAAAATAATGATACGGAGTGCAGTCGAGTGGTAATGGAGGCAAAACTAAATCTGGTTTCAGTTCATGAATTGACTAGATAGGTTGGCTGAGCCGTGTTGGTAAGTTCAGACTAGCTAGCACGAATATTTAAACTAATGTCTGACGGTGTGACTGACATGACTCAGAATTAGTCGCTGTAGCAAATGTATTCAAAGTTTTCTTAGCCCCAGAGCTTGGGTTTCAAAATCATCTTTTACATTTTTTCTTCATTTTTTTTCTCTCGAACCATATCGTCTATACCTAGTTGTTTTTACTTTTACCACACTGATGTTAGTCTTAATAATTTTATATCGGTGTGCTAATTCCGTGTAGCAACTTGAACCGATGCACATTGTGCCGGGTTCTGCGATGAGCATGACTGATAGTCATCGATCTGAACATGGCTGTGAACTTTGTTTGGGAATTATCTGCAGAAAGCCCTGAACCTGTGTTTCGTACTTAATAAAACTCGTTCGAAAGATGTATCAAGACTTTTCGTTAAGAAGGCAGATTTTCTTTGAGGGGATTTAAATCATTGTACCAGACAGAGGAACTGTATTTCAGACAATCTGAAAGCAACTGACCTACTGTAGAGGACTGATATTTATACAAATGTCATCACCTAATAACTGCTTTGTCTAAATATTTTATATATAATTGCGAACTATCAATACAAATATCGACTGCAAAATTATCCTTTTTCTGGGACCTTCATTCGTGATCGTACATTTAGAACACTAATAATGAAAAACTGACTCATCTTAATTTTTTATACGTGTCTAAGAGAAGTACAATAAAAAGTGAAACTTTTCGTACATGAAAAATTTATTTGTCTAGGAAATTATGTGCGGTTTACAAAGCGAGAATGTTACAGGTAAAAAAAAATCAATCAACACATGTTGGATTAGGGATGGGTGGGAAAAGAAAAATTGTATTTATGAGTGAAGTGATGAATTATCTATAAAATGCTGAACAAAAAAGATAAAACAATATAATGATGAAAAACAAACAAGAAAAACAAGGGGTGAATATTCGAGCTAAGCGGGATCGGTTAATAATAAATTGACAAGAACACTACCATTAAGATTTGTCCAACTTATGTTCAGTCAAAATCATAGGAAATGAGTAATTAGTAGGTAGCTTTTCGATGAGTAAAGAAACCCATTAACGTATACTTAAACCATTCTTTAGATTTGTTTACGATATAATAGAAGATAAAATAACTAGCAGGAAGAGACCACATCGATGCACAGTGAAAACAACATAAATGTATACAATAATTTACAATAACACAACAGTGTAGGTTATGACGACAAAATTTGCTTACAACATATGCATACATAACGTAACGGTTATGTATCAGTTTTTTATGGCAGTGCTAACAGACTGTAATAATGCGAATTTGAAAGACCACGAATGATAAACAATAGTGCATGTATGATGATATTTGTAGCTTTGACAGCAACAGCGATAGTACAGCAGTAAAGAATGAAGGTAAGTTGAAAATCGCGAACATACTGTGTCATCAATTTATCCTGATGCGGTATGCCGTTTCTGTTTTTGCGACTCATGAATCATTTCACAAAAATCATCTAATGCACCGATACTTGTAGATAGACTAGAGGGAGGAGATGAGAGAAAAAACAACACAGTATAACTATCTTCGATAAATTTGTGAGACATAATCCTATTAATAATTCAGTTGTAACAAATGTAGGATAGAGTGAAGAGTTTCAGTGCATCGAAAGTACGGAGGTGATTATATCGAATTTCATTCATCACATAGATTTTATTTCAATGATGAGAAATGATTATATAATCAATTATTTTTCTTTCATTTTATCATTCAATTATAAGTATTATTAACAACCTCAACTCCTTCTTTATATAACTTCATTTTTAACAGAAATATTCAGCAATCTCAACTATGATGTTTAAAAAAATATTTGGTGAGACTATAATTTATGGATGACCTTTGAGCGACGCCAGACTAACCTTGAGAGTGTCCACCTAATAACCGGGACCAAATGAGGGTTATAAACCTGTGTGAGGAAATAGAATTGTGATTTACAGTTGATGATTAGAGATAGAAATTAGATTTAGGGTTTTCATCCCTAACTGACATTAGCTATAATGCCAAAACTCTATTTATCCGAATGAATGAGTGAATTTCGCGCCAAAATTCGAAACCTATTATTTTATACGTGATTGGTTCGTCCATAAATCATAGTCTCGCCCAATATTTCTGTCTTCTTGTTCTTAAGATTTTTTGTCCCATCTCCAGCATCAGTTTCAATTCTTTTAATTTAACTTTATCAAAAGTTCGTTTATATTACCATTTGTGCTCAGCTGATGAGAGGCATTATGAAATAGAATAATGAGTTTGACTCAAATTGTATGAAAATATTTAAGAAGCTTCTAACTTATATGTGAAAATCAGTGAAAAGTAATTAAATAGGGTGTAAATTATCAACTTATCATATTAAATGTAGTTACGCTTACCGACCAAATGCATTAAATAAGGAAATTATCTCAGTTCTTCGCAGTTGAAAATTAGGTTCGGCAGTAGATGGTTGATCTAAAGGATTCTCTTTACGAACAGTATCAGAAAACAAAATTTTCAAAGCAGTACCCATACCTTGTGTCTGGAAATGAATTTTATGTAGAATTAAAAAAACGGTGAAAACTACACTGTCACAAAATCATTCACTGAAACTCGACTACCTTTGAAATGAATGATTAGAGTAATTTAACGATAGCATATACAAGAAATCAAGTAACCAAACATTATTCGAAAAGATAATAATTATCCGTTATTTATAATCTTGACTGAATTCTGTTCAGTCTTTCATGGCATATGTGAAGCCTGCACGGATGGCCCCGATACAGCCATAATTTACAAGTCGATACAGAATAAATGAATTTATGGCTAGCAGTGCAATCACGGAAGTACGTTTCACCCTTTTTGGGACTTTCAGCTGGATGTACCTGCATTACTGATAAACCTTCTGACTGAATGCTTGATTCGATTTTCTGAGCTCTTCTAGCAACCCCCAGGCTAAATCTACACAGCAAGTTGAACACGAGAGAAAAGGCGCGGAAGAGGGAACGAAACGCTTTACTCCAAGGTTAGTTTATGTACAGAAAGTTCTGGAACCCTCCTAAACATAGTAGTAGGACAGGCAATCGTCCGATAAGAAATCTGACACGTGACTCACCACTTTCTAGATGTTCTTGAGAAACTTCTATCCAGTGTTGATTGAATAAAATGTTTTTCCGAGTTTTCAGGGCCTCTTTAAGCTATTTTCGAGGAATCTTCTGGGTCTTTCTAACAATTCCAGTTTCGATGTTCCCACTAGATCTTCAACCCAAAACCTTTCGCTTAATAGTAGTGATAATTCAACAAGTAGAAAGTATTTGTTGTATTGACTGACATTTGCAAAAACAGGACCGGTAAATTTATATCATAGCCTTTAAACTACTAGTAATTATGAAACGTTAACAAGATATCTTATGGTAGTCCAATAATTTAATCTAACAAGGTAAAAAAAATTAATGCTGTGAATGAATCCAAGCTGAAGTCAATTACTGACTGTTACTGACTGACTGACTGACTGAAGTCAATTATTAGCTTAGTGGGATAATAAGTAGTCAAGGAAAATTATAGTTTGACCAATCTGGCAGCATCACTAAGCCCTACACTCATAGTGACCCAAGGCTATCTATACGAATCTATACCTGGTAAATGAGTTGCAATAATGCAAGCATTCAATAGTTTTAGTTTACAGTTTAGCATAATCAGGGAGTATCATCATCGGTTAATACAAAACGTGTGTACTGGTTAAAATTGTCAAAAAAACTGTTACATCATTTGGTGAAAAAAAAACAAGAAGAACAAATCAAACTCAGAGGAATGGTAAGACCATATCGAAAACAGTTCAAAATTAATCGCACGATAAGTAAAATACCAATAAAATCAGACATCTTTATTAGTTTACATCAAGAATTGATTCTGGTTAAATAGCCACTGTAAACTGGGTAGGATTGGAGATTTGTTCCGTTCTGGTATGGGACTCCTTAGTAGTATGTATCCATGATCCCATGAGAGTTTGAACATGGGACCTTCAGGTTTCAGTGTGATCGCCTGACCTTTAGAACACTTAGTCGGTATCCAATGTTTAACTTCAATCAGTTCGAGACAACTCTAAAAACATATTTTAGGTATATTCTTTATATAATGGTTGAAATCAATAATTACTGCCGGATTTCAGATGAGTTTGCAGTCTGAAAATAACTTAATTTAAAATAGTGTAACACTATAAAGGTTGCATTCAGTAAATATAAACAGTTAGTATAAGATAATAGTGATGATTCGTCATTTATTCAGATAGATGGATGAAATTGGTCAGATTCTTTTTTAAAATTACTGAGATTTACCACGTCGGTCATCATTTAGGTGTTTTCAGTTTCAGTTCGGGAAAATAACCAACATACTGAAGACTTTTTTATTACCATAAAACGTCAAACCGGGGGTAATGAAAAGACTGTAATAGAATCTACGTACATACTCACTTATCTTTTGCAGAAGGATAGACATTTTATAAACTCCTGATCCACTCCAACAGTTAGTTTCAGTGAACATGATCAATCAATACTTAACCAAAGTAATTTATTATATTGGATGATTCGACTTGGTAATTAAACTGCATAACTTGATCAGAGCTACCGTTGACTAATAATTCATGTGTGTGTGATTTATAATTAGATTAGTGTGAACGTGCACTCAACTACTTGAAATGTCTCAATGAACAAATAAAATTTTAGTACACTTTTTTCTGAATGATTGCTAATTTGTGTTCTTCAATTATCGCCGTGTATTAAATTCAAATTAAAGAAACGTAGAAAAAAATATAACATATATCGAATGTCTTTTTTGGAGAAAATCAATATGACGTAACTCACTTGTAATTTTCCCCATAATCTACATTTCTCACAACCAATACAATCCATTATACGTGAAATATTGCGAAAATGTTCACGAAATTGCTTTTTTAACACATTAGCTTCATTAATATCTCCAGCGAATAAAAGATGTTCATTAAAAATACTCCCTTCATTTCTGGTGTTATGAAAATACAAAGTGGATTGGTGATTTAAAACTGCTATAGGAATATGTCGATTATTAGAGAAAAAAACAACTATAATGCACATTTGATTCCCTAATCCTAAGATGACATGGAATAAAAAAATGTTTTTACTGAAATCAGATATAATGGATAAGTAGAATTGTCAGTGTAGTAGGATCATCTTTAAAACATGCTAACTAATTATGCTAGTTAACTGTTTTGAATGAAACAGTGCATAAATTAACAAAATGCAAGTATTATGTGGAACGACTTGAAGTTACTCATTGGTACAGTTGTATTCAGTTTTTTTCATTTATCCTTCTGTTTTTCCTCTTGACAATTCATACTCGTCTATAAATATTTTTTAATTCTTTCAACAGGACGAAATTTGTTTGTTATTGAACGGTGTGTAAGATTAATTGATAAAATAGAAATATCAGTATAGGGGATTTGCGGAGATTGTGGAATTGTCATAGTTTTAAATCACGAACTTATCTTGGCTAAACCACCACTGAAAACCTGGAAGCACTAGGTGGCTGTTTAGTCTTAGTATGGGACTCCTCTTCAGTGTGTGTCCACGAACCCGTGTCCGGATATCGAATCCAGGATCTTCCATTTTGCTCAAAAACGCTTGACCTTTAGACCAGCAAACTGGTATCTAACAGTAGTCTACAGGCCCTGGGTTCCATTCTCGGACACGGGTTCGTGGGTAAGCGCTGCTGAGGAGTTTCATACTAAGACAAAACGTTCGTCCAGTGCTTTCAGATTTTCTAACTAGGATCAATTCATGTTTCAATAATATTTTCCATTTATACTGAAGTTTTCATTTTAAGTGTTATTTGATAGACCATATTATACTGAAATCTTGATAGATAAACACTTACGAAACTATAGAATCATTACCGAAATACGTGTATCACTGTGAATTTTCAGAAATCTCAATAAGACAAAGAGGAGAAAACGTAATAAGAATATAAAAAATACTATAAACAATAAGTGGATGTGGATTGGAGAAAGAGAAAACAACGATTAAAAGTATATTATTATCTCTATAGACTTCAGGATATAAGGTTACATATAAGAATAATAGGTTGACCGTCAAGTGGATGATTATCGTGTATCGTAGTGTCGAATTAAATTAACGCTGTCGTGAAATTAATATTTGAAGTTGAACTAAGATGCTATATTTGATCACTCAGAATACTTTTAGAAATATCAATGTTATAAACAATGTAGGACGTGGCATATATGTACATCGATCCCAGTTGCCACACCACGTTAGCACAGTGAAATTAAATTGTCAAGACGAAAGACGTAGTAGAAGTAGTATCGTTATCAGTGGTAGAAAAGATTGGACTATATGATTCAATAATAGATTTTTAAGATAAAAATTATAAGTATTTTAGGGACAAAGAGTGAATACATCTGTGCCATTGTGACCGGTCCTATAAATTATCACTTAATGTCTCTAACCATAAGTTAGGATAATCAAGCAGATTCCAACAAAGTGGTCTGTACCTAACTACACAGTTCAAAATCATATGGAGATAATAAATAATAAACAAATTTGTCACTTTTATCATGTTTAAGTCCTCAAAGACCTTGATTCGCACATTAGCATCTTCCTACATGGCTTCCAGGCAAAAGTCAGTGATTTCATGGAATGATACTACATCTTAATATGGACAATATGTGGGTGCTAAATATTGGACAGTGAGTAAAGAATTCGAGTCTATCATTGTTCACTTGATTAAGAAACGTTATCTCTCTTTTTTCAGAGGATAATTAGTTGAGTCATTGAGTTTCATAGTCTTGACGAAGATTACAGTTCATATAATTTCAATTATAGAGCACTTATAAGTAAGATAGAACAACTTATATTAAATAAGCAAACTCTCAATGTTTTAGGACTTATAATTATGAATATTTGCATGACTGTTAGTTCATAGCTGACAGGAAAAGCATGAAGGGCTTTTACTTAAAACTATGGATGAATTCACCGCTTAACAGATTGTATAATCGTAAACCAAAGTTATTTTATTGGTTGATGATGGGTTATTCATACAAAAAAGAACTTAGTTACTACGATTACTCGACAGAATCCAAAACAGATTTTATTTTATTATGATAACCTAATAGTTACCAAGAAATCAATTAAATAAAGCTTACTGAATTATTTGTAGAAAATCTGTAACAACAGATCTAGTTTCCTTATCCATTTTCTCATCTCCTGTGAAATAAGTTTGTTTCATCAAATAAGGTGCAGCTTTAGCTAAAGCACGTAATTCCACCAAATAAGTGAAATAAAGATTACGCAATCGAGTTAAACCATCTGGCACAATAGATGGATCAAAACGACGACGAAATTCCTCCAAATTTGGACCCCAACCTGGATTATTACTATCATAATCACGAGATATTGGTTGATGTCGTGAAAAAACTAAAGATAAAGAATAAAAACAAGAAAGATGAACATTCTAGGTAAAGTGAATGTCTTTTATCTACATAAAGACTTGATGAAGTCATTTCTTATTAACTTATTTACCTAGTACAGATTCATGTGCTTAACCTCGAGTTGCACTCTAAATATAGCGGCTAGCGATGCTACCCAGTTGATGGAAATAGATGTAGGCGAGACGGGGGTTGAACCTGTGACTTAATGACTGAGAGTTGAACACCTTGATCACTGGTTCAACGCTTGACTAATTGATAATTTATACAACGTATTTACGATATAAACATCTGTGTACTCGATTTTTATGCCGTTGTTTGAGAGAAGGATAGCGATTTTATGTGGTTACATAAGCCGAGTTAGATGAAGTGGGGTTTGAACCTGTAAAGCGCTGATTGCTAACTGAGCATGTTGGCTATCAGTTCATCACTCCTTGATTAGATTATGATTAAAAATAAATAATTGAGAATTTCGTTTTCCTGTAAATAAATATTTGTCTGATGCTCTCAAGAATCTGCCAGATACCAATAAAAATTGATAGTGCAGTAATTGTAATAGGTTGTAAACAGTTTGAGAAAAATTCATTATTATTCTATGAGATGAACAAAACGATATCATTCGACGCTGTGAAATTATGTTTATGAAACATAAAAAAGTTTGCTAAAAATGAAGACTTACGACTTAACGGATATCGATAAGATAAATGAACACTGATACTACTATGCAGCCCAGACACCATTCGATAAAATGCACGCTTTTCAAGGCATGAAGATTGACCTAATATATATGGAGAAAAGTTAAAATAGCTGCACAATTAATTAGTATGATGTACCCTTTTCATTAAACTATGTGTAATAACAAAACTATAAGCATCTTTAGGACGACACACGCGTCCTAGATTCAACTGCTAGCCACCACCCATCTCTGCTTAAAACATACTTAAAATAATTGATATACGTAAGGGTAAGAGTTTTGAGAGTGGTAAAATAATTGAAAATTAAACAGTACTACTATTTACTATTTAATAGTGTGCATACAAAATCGACGTCAATAATCTTAGGTCCAGCAGAGAGTAAGAATATTATTTACTTGCTGAAAATTAAAAGAGCAGATCGGATGAGAAGGATGTAAATCGAAAGTCCAATACTGTTATTAAGATACAATTTAACATTCGGTGACGTTAAGAGTACTGCTATTATTCATTGAATCACAAAACTAATATGAAATAAGAGGAACTCAAGGAGTTTGAATTTTATGAATGATCTACAATTTAGATACAAGTTTGAAAAAACTTGAACATTAGTAATTCAACTCAACATAATACAAATATTGCCTATATTAAATAGTAGTGTATAAGAAAGTGTGTTTGTTGAAAGTGGCATACCTGAGATTATGAAAAAGGTGCAGGCTTGAAACAGAGAATGCCCTTCAAAATATTAGCAATTTGTGACTATACACTTGTTTCGTTTTCCATTTTATTGTTCAAAATACCCCTGCAAGTCACCAAAAATTAGACTGTTCACGTCTTTACTATTATTATTAGTAGTAGTAGTAGCTTTATTTTTAGAGTCGTATCCAGAAGTGATTCTCCTGAATCCAGTTAATCAGCAATTACCAGCGGTCAACAAATACAAGAGACTGTACACTTTCAATATTCTCATCAACACAAGTTAGCGATAATTCTGGAAATTGTAGCTTCCTTGGAACCTTTACGTGACTAGTTGGAACGACTAAATAACTTAAAGAGTTTTGTCCAGCGAATTATTCTCGTAAACAGACCTCGCAATACTTCATGAATTCCTTGAGTTTTTCCAGATCCAACAGCTCAGTTGGAGTATGTATTGAATTTACCGTGTATGTATTCATATAAAATTCATTAACACTTCAAGAGTAAGGACGAAACCAAACGTCAATAATATAGATTTTAAATAATTTTCTTTACATATACATAATCTTAGAAAATGAGAGATGGCGTTTGAATTATGTGATGGGAAAGTATCACAAGTAGAATAAGGTGAAGAGAAACGTCTCAAGGTTAAGACTTTTATTAAGTAGAGGCAGAAGTGATACTTATTTAATCGCGCTTCGACAAGTAGCTATATGAAGAATAGAGTCTTAAAGGTGATTTATCTCATAAAAACACAACATTTAACAAAAACTAACCAACGGAAGAAGGTATAATAAGTATAGAAAGCACCAAAATCGAAACAAGAGAAAACACCAAACGAAAAACAAAGGATATTTTAAAAATATAATAAACACGAATAACGAAATAAAAGGCAAAAACAAAACACTAGAAAGTTATTTTAATGTTTAACATCTGTTAATCAATCAAAAACACGACTATTTTCCCATAAAATCCATAGATAATTAAATGAATAATGCAAGGGATAAAATTCGTGTACATTGACAAACTTGTTTACAATAAATACATAATATACATGTATATACCATCACTAATACATATAGTACCCAAAGCATTTTGATCATCTAAACGATTGGGAGAAAAACGAATGAAATAATATAAGCTGCAGAAACAGTAATAGCGGTGATACAGATAAGACTAATTTGACTACAGTAATTGGTACTATTGTCATACAATCTTCACGGAACTTTTATGTAGGTCAGGTTACTTGACTTTCATATTGCTTATATTATAATGAAACTGATGAATAGAAACTTCATATTAAATGGTTTACGGTCTCATAATGCTTGTGTTATGTCTATAATATAGTCAAATAGTCTTTTAGAGGTTATTGTGCTTATGGTAAGTTCATTATTATACCATCAAACTAAGAATGAATAAAATTTGTCGTTAACATCCAAAAATAAGCAAAATGATTTAAAGTATCTGAATTCTAAATGCGCTAAATCCTAGGGATTAATCTAAATCTCTGAAAATCTTGACGCTTATCTAAAGGTCTGAAAGAATTAATTCCAATCCAAGAAGTAGTTAAGGATATGCACGAAAACCTTCCATGTAACTAAGCCAACTATTCTATACACCCCTCTTCATAAAGTTTTTGCTAGGTAACATTGTTTATGATGAAGTATATCACGAAAAGTAATAAAAACCTATTTTAGAAAGAATTAATAAGCTTCAACGAATATATACATATAAGCACTGAAAATTCTTCGGTCAACAAGATCATGAAATCAATAAACATTAATCAACCAATAAGATAACGACACGTTAATGCCAACTTATTTTTATGTCAGTAACACTATTATACATACTAAAACATAAAAGTTGAGCAAAATCACAATAAAATGAAAATTATTATTTATATAGAAAAAAGCTAAGGTTGAAAAGGAAAAATCCAGAAAATAAACTGATGATTATAAAGAGATGAGAAAAAGTACCACAAAATTATAATTAATTAGCACATAACATTTAATAATAAATCCATATGGTACTCTAAACTTAAAAGTATCCATCTTATGTATGATTGAAATTGTCGATCAATAAAGCTGTTAAGATGAAAAGAAACAAATTGTTGTAGATTATCAACTAATAGTTTAACAATTAATCTGGACAATATACATGATTTTCGCTAGTTATCTTTAGAAAAACTGGCCAATATTATTAATTTTGAAATTAGTTTGTTTTCATACTTCTTGTTAAATGTTGTTATTGTTTTATTATATTTGCCTTTTATACTTTTTTGTTTGACTTTTATTTTCGCTATTTCGATTGCTCTTTTTGTTGTTGTAGTTGTAGTCATGATTGTGAGAACTTAAGATAAATGGATTGTTAAAGTAATTTATATGGATGTCATTTGATAAATATTTCATATGAAACATAGGATACAAAATACTTGACATGGAAAAGACATTTCTTTAAAGGAAAAATATTTATGATACTGTTATAAAGAGAGATGCATAAAGGACAATCGAAAAAAAAGAAATGCAATTCATAGATTTTTTTTAAACACTTAATTTATTTCCCAAAACGTGATACAAAACTTGCTTTTAAAATAATATCAACAGATATAGCTAATGAGATGATACAGTGAAAATGGAAATTCTTCCGTATTACAGTGAACAATAAATAATTTAATCACTTCCAATAGAAAAATATAAGATTGTATGATCAGAACACATGAATTTACCGAAATAGAAGTACAATCGAATTGAAGGAACGGTGAATAGTGCTTTGTTCAAGCATATATTTACTGTTAGTCAACTGTGATATCAAGCCATATTGTTTATCAGGGGTTAACAGAACACATACTTTTGTTAGTTACTTACAACTATCTAACATCTCAAAATGGTGTACGTGATGTCGAATTACTTAGACCAGTGATCGTACTGTAACATAACTAAGAGAACTTGAACAGGACTGATTAACAGGACAAGCATGAAAAATTGATTGCTACACATTGATAAATCAATTGTATAAATATTCATCAATCCTTGGTTTAAGTTGACACTAACAAAGCTAAGTGAATTCATTTAAATCACTTAAAATAAATCCTGTATCCAAAATTAGCAAGTCTAGCATGAACAGAAATAGGTTAATAACATCAAATATACTCAACGAACTCAATGGATATGAATATGAGGTTGTTCACCTTAAAAATAGTCAAAATATGATAGAGATGATGGCTTAGAGAATAATCGATGAGTCTACGACACTGCTATCGGCTATGAGGTATATCACTTGGCTCCTACAATTGTGTATTTTTATTCACAATACAAGAAATCCTATGAAGAATGAGATCACCCGATAGAAATCAGTGCCAGATCTGACATAGTTTATGTCTGTCTGTTATTTAATATCAGTATACAATCCTTTGAATGTGCATACAAACCTTCGAAAAATAGCGGACATTCACTCAGCCAATGGCAGTGATCAGTGCTCAAAAATGGTTTGCTCAAATATCAACCCCAACTAAATAATACAAGGTTAATTTTGTAAATATTATATTTGACAATAAAATGATCACTGAGTAGTGACCAGTGTCATGTATATCAAGTCCTTCTTAATGCTGGTCGATCAGGTTGCTCAGTGGCAGTCTCAGACAGTGAATTTGGGTGGCACAGTATCGAATCCGCCAGGGGCCACCAATTTCCTCAAGATCATAGATATATCTTACTGACGAGTGGAAAAACCTAGGTCCAGGGTTTCTTGTCGACTGACTCTAACCACTAAATTTTTATGTCTTATTATCACATTATAGCGTGCCTTGATCTTCGTTGTCTGTAATAAATATGTGCGACTAAATCGTATGTAATGTAGTGGGTAACATAAACTACTTTCCAGATAATTGATTTCCTTTACACTATACTATCAATATTTTTTATCAACTCTATCAGTACATATTTTCACATTCTAAATATGGATATTACCAAGTCAAGTTGTTCGACAAATAAATTTATATCTGCTACACTAAACATAACAAACACGACAAGAACTGTAACAAAGAGTGAGATAACTGGTAATGTTTTCGCTTTACTGTTAGCATTCAAAATATCATGAAACCGCAAAACAATTAAACATAAACAGAAAAACAAACAGTTGCCACTAGTGCTCGTAGACAGAAAACGACAATCAAATAATAATGAATCGATCCTCCACTCAGGACAAACGATAAGATGTTTTGAAGACTGAAGTATTGATTTTTGGTGAATTCCGTGTATTTGATTAAAATTGTGATATTAAAATAGTTTATATAGGTGCCTATTTTGTCAAGACGTTGTACAACTCGTAATGGTGCTAAGAGAATGAGTTTATTTTACTAAGTAATGAACTTGCTGAATTGTAAGGAAAAGACCACCATTTGTGTTTAATTTTATATAAAAACACTAGAATTGTGGGGAAAATAATTTCTATGTTGAAGAGTATACGTTGCAACTTTTGAGATCAACCGTTTTCAGTCAAACCAATAAGTCTCCTTCCTGAAACCACATGTAATCAAGTTTTAAAAGTTATTTGTTTTCTATAAACAAGCAAACTCATTTTTACCACGTAATCATGAACTAAAGTCTGATTTTCTCCAAGCACTCAATACACAAATGAGATTCAGAACTTACACTAACTTAGCAAACAGATAAATTTTGACCAAACTGCTCTTTAAAAAGCAACAATTAGCTCATGTTGGGTAGATTTAGATCGTTTAGCAACGAAAAAAGAACATACTGATTCACATCGAAATTGAGTAAATTAATTTAATGAACAAATTGAGAAAATGACATGACAGTCACAAAAATCAAGTTTACTTACTTGGACCTAGGTAACTTGTCCCATAAGTAATCGAATCTTCACTAAAGTGAGAATTTAGTTTAAAATATGTTATAATATTAAAACATACTTGAAACAGTTTTCATTGTAGACCATATACCATATTCTATTTGAGGCAGGTCCTTTGTAACCAGTATAACGTTCAGGATTCTTGAGTAAATCCACGTAAATCATTTTGCCAGAGCTATCGTCTGAAGTGGAGACAGAAAAGTGTACATTTGTGTATATATTACTCCGCAACAACCATAAAATCATGCAACTAAGAGACCTAATCTCTTATCACTCTCACCATTAGAGTAGTCACGTTTACCTTTAAATAAAAAGTGATTTAAGACCCAATATGTTAGCCGTTTACACGATTAATGGGTTATAAACACGTTCATCACTTCCGTGGATTAAATTTAAAAAGACTAAATCGTAGACGAACCATATGGCAAACGCTTCATCTGAGAGGATCACAAAAAAAGAAACCATGCATCCTACTATTCAATCACAAAACATATTCTGCTATAACGAACAAATGAGTATAAACTGATTTAACTGTAGTGTATATATTATTTTCAGCTAATATCAACAAACAATTTCTGATCAACAGTAAATTGGTATAAGTAGGTGCGATGAATGTAACATGACCAACAGATATTTACACTGATGAATAAACTCTTCGCTAATGATGAACAATACATATCATAATCAGCGTTTGGATAATCCGCTACATCTTAAGAGCACGATTAAATAAGGTCTAGATTCATAGTTACCCAATAATTGAACTGCTATAGCATTATTTATCTTATGTAATTATAGAAATATATTGGACTAGTATATAATTGTTGATTAAAAAAACTAGATAAGTCAAGTGAAATACTTGTTATTCTTAGTTTGTTCTTAAACCCATGGATTCAAGCCCATAAATTGGAGAACTCGACCGTCAAACTACATATTCTTTTCGTTTAAGTAGACGTAAAATATCATCTAACTTACCATCAGGTTCACAGAACGTCAACTCATCTTCATCATCATGGCGAGTCCAATTGGCAATTATGGTTTTACGTTCTTCACTAAAATATATTGAAATGAAAATTTCAGTTTGTGAGATGGCAAGTAAAATAATCTATGACTAAACGTACATTTTGTCTGAAGTTTACAGTTAAAAAATTAACATTAAAATTGTTCATCAAAAATCTTAGACACAATCCAAGTCATTCGGCAATATGTTATAGACCAAGATTCAAGGTATTTGGTACAGAGGATTTGTGAAACATGATTAATGATTTAAAAAATAAGATGAATGAATACTTGAACAACATCAAACACATAATCGTCAGTCAGTTATAAACAACGTAGGATCTGGCACAAAACTGGATCGTCTTAAGATGCTACACTATATTAGTACAGTAAGCAAAGATTATTAGGATGAATATCCAAGTAGTAAAAAAATGTAGTACTATTAATTATAATATACCTTTGCTCAGCTATGACCTCACCATAAATAGTAAGGTGCTACCTAGGTTCTACATAATCGCAGATGTAGGACTAAGGTATTCCAACAATGTCATTCTCAACACAGACTTCTAAGTCTCGAAGAATTGTATACTATGTAACATTTATAACTATGATTCAAGTATTTTAATATAAAAAATATGTATCCGGTCACACATCGGGAACCGGACTTTTATTCTGAGTAGTGTTTGCATAAAGGATAAACTTAGGTTGAAATCTGTCCAGTGGCAATCTACACTTCGCATTTTTGGGAATGAGTATCTTAAGATTCAGGTGCATCGAGCTTGAACTTGATCCTTTATGGAAGCGGCAATTCAAATTGAATTTAACTTTTTCCTTCAAAATATAAACTACAGTATCTCTAACATTCACTGGTGAAATCCAAAGTGTAGAAAAACTTAGTTATGGCATTCATGACTCTATCTTGAAAGTGAAAATGTCTTGTCCCAAATCTTTTCTCTATATCATTATCATAATGCTTGTGGTAAATGTCTTACTGAAACAATTCGTGAACCACTTCCTTTCAGACAAATTAATCCTTATTTGATAACTACGGTCAAACTTTCTGTGAACATCCATAAGTTAATAATTCCTCTCTTCATTATATGTGACAAGCCATTAGAGAACTTTGAAAACAAGAGCTACGACAAAAACGACTTACCTTAAGGAACTATCTAACTTCCCTAACCCACAGTCGATTCCTTCTTCTGGATACATGTTGGCCTCTTTTGAATACTACTAATTAAAATTAAACAAGTAGTTCGTACTTTATGGTGAGGTGACGACTCCAACGAATCTTCACGTAGCCCCAAAGGTATTTCTTCAGCTGGACAATCCTTAACTCGACAATCTGATGATGGGCATCGTTTATCATCGTCAAAAAAAGGGCAACCGCGTTCCAAATTAACCTAAAACAATCCATACAGATAAAATATATACAAATTCATAGCTATTCAGAATGATAAAGTAAAACAGCCACAAATATCTTAATTATGTAGTTTAATTATTAAAATCTAGATTATGCATTTAACTAAATTGTAAGTTTGAACGCATCTCACAAAATGACCACTTCTGTTGGTTTTTCAGTCACTGACAGTGCTTGACATATGAACAGTTAGAATGTGAAAAACATTCTGCCAAAGACAGTTACTAAATAAAATTTACCATGTCAACACGCAGATTAAATTTGGCATTACTTACGTGGTTTATGCCACTACACTTAGTCAACTAGTATTTTTTAAAATAATTTATTTCCACTCAACACTCAAGAACGAGCTTGTGGACCTGGGTTGAAGTCATGAATCGCAAGGAATGCTAGTGATACTAACCAATTTACAAAGTCAAAGTAAACAGAGGGAGGTCCGAACTTGTAACAGGAAGAATGGTTGCTTTGACTATAGATCTACCGATTTCAGAAGCGTTCAATACTTTTAGGACTGATGATACTAATCCATATCAAATTATTTTGCAATTGAATGGACACTTAGTGACTTGATATTTGGAACGCTGAAGTTAATTCGTTTTGTAAGTTTTAGCGGCAGTTTCCAAATTTTACTCATTAATTTATTAATCAGTTGATAAGAGATATGAAACTTTAAGTCTTTGAAGAGTTGCAGAATTTTAGGACTATAAAACAGTCTCGTATGATACTCGTATTTCGAGTGGGATCTGAATGGAATTGCTTTGGAGGCCTTACTGTAAGGCACGTTGACGTCTAAATTACCTGTGATGCTGATTGACTAAATAAACGGAACTGAACGAAGTGGGTGTTAAATCTGACGTGAGCTGATAGCACATATACAAATAATTAGTCGGGTAACAGTACAAATATTTTCTTGGCTTTATGAAAGTTGGCATTTCACTATCAAGATTGATAACTACTTGTAGGACATAAACAATCATTTTAAATGATAATCTTCGTCTTCTTATTACATTATCGAAATTTATCAAAGGAACTAATTGCTTTAGATGTTTTACAAGAAAGTCGAAAAATCATACACATTTTTGCTTTCGCTACATTAGCCTAGATTTTGTATGATGTATTCACCCAACAACTAACCCTTATGAAGGTTTTAAATGGACCATGATTTGAGGGTCATTTGTCAGTCCCCTGCAAAAGCGTTAGGCAAGGATTTCGCGACAGTGGGAGGCCAAATGTACAGGAATAGAAATAAAACCAACCGAATAAGGGACATTAAGTTGTAAGATCTAGGCTGCTTTCAGTCTTCAGAGGTAAGAATGGGGGATCAATCAACTTATATTAATCCCTACAATTTGTAGTACACCTTGAATGTATTGACAGAGGGTGTTGATATTACGTGTTCTGATATAAAAATCCAGTAATTCACCATTCAATGCGAGAAACGGAATCTCAAACGTGAACGATTTGATCTGTTTTCGAATTACCTTGGTCATTCGTGAATGGTTGGAAAACATACGACACATTAATGATTCAGTATACGGTAAGCCAGTAACAGGTCAACTCGTAACTTGTCGTAAGATAATGGAAATAGGTTGAGGTGTCTGGGAATTAACAAGGCACAATATCAGGTCACAATAGAACCTATAATTTTGTTGTCGATAAGTCACTATTTATTTATAATGCTTTTAAGTACAAAGGGATTCATGTATTAATGAGGACATTTGAAGGTTTTCACAAGATAGTAATGATTGAAAAGTTAAGTACCTCAAAGTAGTGGAAGAAATCCTTCTGTAAAATGTTTTTGATGCGAGGCAAAACTTTCAAATTGTTGAAACCAGTTATCTTCTGGATATCTGCATTAATATCATCCACCATACCACTTAACTACAAAGTATTAGGAACAGTTTGAGCTTACAAGAGAAAAGCACCCTCCACGTTCCTCACTTGGTTGCGCTAACGAGCAAGCAAGAAGAATTATAAAATGTAAAAGTGATTCTCTCCCAATCATCAACCAACGACAAGTAATTACAATAGCAAGAGAAGCTGAACCTTGAGCTTAAATTTACAAACAAGAACTAGAAAGGCTTTCAGCGTACTTAAACAAAGAAAACATAGTTCGTAAGTAAAATCTAAGCGCAAATGCTTATATTGAAAGAAATATCCGTATTTTAATTTTGTAATTTTTTATTTAACTAGGGTCATTGACAGTTTGTTAGAAACAATGAAATATATGCCTCTCAATTCTCCTCCATTCGATTCGTTTTTGGCTTTATTACTGCTCTTAGGGTACTTGGGGATAATGACGGACACTACAGGTTATATTGTCTGAACCGGATAAAATTTACTGAAAGGCTACCAGTTGGTTACAAATGGTTGTGAACGGAAGGGAATCTTTCTCTTTATGAGTTACCGTAAATGGTAGCAGAGGATCACCGATGCCTTTAGGTAAAAACCTAGTTATGTATGACAGAAAAGAGAAAAATTAGCGAATTTTAGCAAAATAATATTCTTAGTTCGTAAGAATGGCTATTTCAGCCAGCTGCAATTCCTGAATTCTACTACTTATGAAATGTGGAACTCGTATCAACAGTCCTTTCTGCCATATTTTACCCGCAAATTCTATTTGTTTCCATTAAGGCTTTTCTTGGAACTGAGATCATGTATAAATATTAGATACTTGAGAGTGCTTAGAATGTTACATATAATTAGGTCACATTTGAGGTGCTTATACCTTAGTAAGCAACAATACAGTGGCCCATGGTGTTTAAGTCCTCGAACTGACTTCATGGCTCGCACTGAGACACTACTTAGTGTATTTTTATTTGATTGGAGTGAGAAAGGAAAAACCATGTTTCCATACTCTACATCAATAAAACTTAGAAATTAAATGAAAATTACTGCATTCAAAATTCTCAAAAATGCACTTTAGAGTTGCTAGTGTAAGGTCTGCCCAAAAGGCATTTTCGTCTCAGCTAGCGTAAAACTTGGATAATTGGGTGCCGAGACTCCTAGAACTTTGAACATATCTAAACGAAAGGTACCTGAGTTTTATGAGTTATCTGAAATATATCTCAAGTGAACTATTTTACTCGTCGAAGTGTTGAAAATAGAGTAGCCGATAAATTAAGGGTTCGATACTCAAGAATCAATAAAAAATATTCCCAACAAGTTGGGAACAGATATCTAACCGCAATGATTGCAGAAACTTTCCCAAGCAGGAAAAGGTACCCAGTAACGAAGATTAAGGGACATCAAGTGACGTTAAAAGGAGATTTGGATAAAGGCTACAGTGCAAGACTGGGAGAAGTAATAAATAAGTAAAAATACAGTCCAATGTAATGCTGTCGAATGATTCTAGCTTATTCTTTCCGTTACGTTGACTTTGGTTTCATCTGTAAGCATTTGCATACCTACAGTAATCTTGAAATTATTAGTTGACCACTCTCAAGTGAAGTATGTTGTCTAAAATCAGCAAAACGTGATGAATCTCGTTATTGAGCAAAGTTTGAGTGTTCACTCAGCCTTCAAGTGACATGGCTTTCAGAATATTATATCTTAAGTAGGTCATATTTGAATTATTACCAAAGGAATTCTAACCGAAATATAACTGTTTAATATCTAGTGGTTTGGGGCCAACTTACTGAGAAGTTCTGCATTAATAAAATTGATTTATGACTTTATGGATTCAAGTTATTCATACTTTTGGCGATCTAAGGAAGTTAAGAGGATATTTACATCGCATAATAGGTCCTTACAATACTCGTTGTATTATAATTTCATATTTTTCTAGATATTCCATCGCTAAAAGATTGTTTTGAACATTTAGAGATACTTTGATATTTCTTTTCATTGCGATTACTCGATAACAATTGAAGCACGAAAACTACGCAAGCAATACCTTAAGATTCGATTAACATTTCTTCTTAATTCGTGAAACACATATTTCCACCAGAATTAATTCGAAGGGAGAGAATCAACATGGTTTTATTCCACATCTCTACGCTACTAGACTGATAACCTTGATATAATGTTTATGACTCAACATAATGTGACCGTCTAACTTATATTTTCTTAAGTCGAAGATGTGTCGTTGTCTACGCTGACTCGCCCCATGCAATGGCCGCCCATTTTGCTTGCAAGAATTTTGGAGGAACACGTTCCAGCTGGTGAAATAGTATGTCTATATGTCTATCTCTCCGGAATGGCTGGGACATGTGTTCCCTTCAATCCTTACATTTTGAGCTTTCTCAACTTCCACCATCTAGAACATGACACGGATGTTAGATAAAGCTGTGGATTCCGTTTATTGTCTCGTTCATTATTAAAATCGTAAGAAATCAGCATTCAAGTTTGTTTGCTCATGAAAACTCTAGTGCTTACAGCATAAACGTCTGCTAAGATGTTTTCTGTGGCCTATTACAGCACAAAGTGATGGAAAAGCAATAAAGTCAGTGAGGTCATTTCTTAACAAACTTCTTAACTTTCTTTACAGGCTATGGTTGGAATAAACCACTTTCAATAACAAAATCTACGATAAATGTGCTTTATCAAACAACTCACTTTGTTTGCATAATCCGCATTTTAATGATAGAATTGATGGATAATACACGGTCGTAGATAAACACCCTTACATTTTTTCGTCCAACCCTGTAGTTCTTATGCTGAGGACCAGTGACAAGACAGTAAGATTCACATCTTATTACTTCACCTTAAAGTCGAAGGCAAAACTGCTGATAAGTCGACTGACTTGTGCTGATCTTATCCGAACACTTCCTTCTTCCTGAAGATAAACCACCTCCCAGTTGACAAGAAATAATAAACGACTGGATCTCTACCTCAACTAGTGGTCGCAGCGTGTACCCAAAAGAATATTCAGGCTAATAAAAGACCTCAATATGCATTCCGAACACAGAAGTTGTCTGTTCCACTGCGCTGTAATCAGTCATCAGAACAGGTTAACATACTGGAAGCTGTGATGTAATGAACGGTCATCATATGCACATCACTGCTGTTAAGGTTGTCAAGCACATAAAATTCCTTAGTTGGTTGTTTCTTCTTGTTTAAAAGTTACAGAGTGTTTGCAGTTATTTCAAAGGTCAAGTTCCTAAATATCAACTTTATAGACTCCACTTTCAGACATACATTTTGTTTATTTGTACGGTAGACCAATTAATATCATGTATCAAGCGATTCTGTGAAGTGAGGAGATAAATTGTCTGCTCTGGAATGTTAAGTATATTAATGCAATTGTTTATGACGTCTTCTCGTATCAGAAGTCACTATGAATACGGTAAGCCGAAATTTATTGGCCAGCAACCTTTTTTTCTGTTTAATGGATTATAGATAATGCAAAACTGTGCCAAAGACTATGTGTAATTGTGATAATTAGGAGTAGTTGAACTGTAGTACAAACTAGGAATCCTATAAATAACGCAATTGGATCAAGAAGTACTAGATAAGCACGAACAGATGTACTTTATTTGGAATTCGAAATCAAGCATTCAACAAGTACAAAGGTATCATTGGTTCATCCAACACCACATCCGCCAGAGCTTAAATTGGAGTCTAGGTGTTTGTAATCAATCGTACGTCTTCTTCTCAAATTCATCCTGAGTCTGTCTGACATTGTATTGGATAAGGATCCTGTATTATCTAGAATATGCTCATTAGCATTAGAATTAACGATCGAAATTGGAACTGACTCACCTGGTTCCTGAAATTGTATTTGATCTACATGTCGACTGTGTGTACTTAAGTCATCGATGTCTAGAATTCGCACCATCGATTTTCCGACATTCTTCAGAACAATACCCGTAGATAGTCGAATATCATTTCCTCGATAGTATGTAACTTCTGCAGACTCCAAACATCTCATATTCGACCGGAGAATTCTTCCTTTCAATAGCTTCGCTGGAGTCTCCTTCGTCACCGAACGTCTGGCATTTCTATATTGCAATAAAAAGGTATCTACTTCCCTCTCCAGCTCATTAAATGTTGAGGGGGCTATAGAATCAATAGCAGTCTTTAATGTCCTAACCATTAGAACACGCATGTCTGGGAGCAGTAAATAGATGTTTGCACCCTATACCGTTCAACCAGGTAGTGACTGCATCTGCAGCAAAATGTGAGCCATTATCAGTCACCAACACCATGGGAACCCCTTCCCGACTAAACACCTTTCTTAATGCTTGTATTGTGAAATCAGAATTTGGTGAAGTTGTAAAAAAAACTTCAGGCCACTTTGAAAAAGAATCAATGACTACTAGTGCGTAGTATTTACCAAGAAATGGTCCACAATAGTCAGCATGAATCCTCTACCAGGCCTCAGACGATACTGGCCATGGCGTCCACTTCGAAGTATGATTTTTCAACTGATGACATTTCTCACAATTTTTGCCGTACGACATATATCTGCATTTATCTCTGGCCACCAGCATGTGAGCCTTGCCAAGGACTTCTTTTTCTCAGCACCTAAATGACCACTATGAAGATCTTCAAGAACAGATTTACGCAATAAAGGAGTAATGACAACAAGATCATTTAAACACAGAATACCATTAGGAGTAGTAGATAGCTCATCCCGCTTTGAAAAACATTCAGGACATCTACGTTTCAAATTAGCATTCCAAACTTTCCTTATGGCACTGAGTATACATCCAAAATATCTACGAGTTTCTTTAATGAGATCTGAACGTCTCACTGGTAAAGGTTGCACTAACAAACAATCCGAAGTATTAATAGGTTTATCTTGTAATGACTGTCGAGAAATGTAATCAACATGTTGAGTCTGTTTGGCACTTCTCTTCTGAACCGTATAGTCATATGCACTCAAAGCAATACTCCATCGCTGAACCATAGCTGCTGAGGAATGTGCTAATGATTTTTCAGGATGATAAATAAACTTTAAAGCTTCGTGATCCGTAACAATAGTGAATTTCTTTCCGAATACATATTTATGAATTCTTGTAGCAGCCCAAAACACAGATAATGCTTCTCGCTGAGTCTGTTAATAACCTTGTTCAGTAACAGTACGTTTGCGTGAAACACAAATAACTGGTCTACCTTCCTGCTCCAAAATTGCGCCA